GAGCTGGAGCGATGGCGCCACAGGTAAGTACCACTGGCCTCTGCCAGTACCTCTCCCAACTCTACGCTCTACCTCCTACTAGCGCCCAGCGCTGATGACTACAGCTATGGCTATGGCGCCCAGCGCTGATGACTACAGCTAACGCTACTACTACTGCCTAGCGCTGAAGACTACTGCAGAGCTCCTCCTGAGTGCTGCGGCCGAAATCTGAAGACTACCGTCCTACTCTCCAACTGCCTACCCGTTCAGTGCCTGAAGCTCCTATGTACTACACGGGAGCCTCCTGACTCGGGCGAGCAGTTCAGGAGGCTGCTCTTGCCAATAATGCCGGAGGGAGGCAGGGGCTGCACCTGCAGCTCCTGCTCGTGCTAATCCCAATAATGCCGCAGGGAGGCAGGGGCTGCAGCTGCAGCTCCTGCTCGAGCTGGCGTGGGAACAGGCCAGAAATAGCCTGTTCCGAAACCCAGTTTTCGTGCCTGAATCTTAGGGCAGGTCGAAACAAATGAGGGCCTAAAAATAGCCCAGGGCCTAAGAATAGCCCTCCGTTTCAGGCTGGAAAAACTCTGGGTCTGAAAGACCCAGAAATAGGCTGAAACGGRGTAGGGCCTGCAGGCCCTCGTTTTTCAGTTTTCAGGCTGAAACGACCGGGGCCTGTAGCTCCTAAGTTTTAGGCTTTAAGGCTGAATGTCCGGGACGGGTCCTACAGGGCCCGTGTGGCTACGCAGTATGCCACAGTGGAAGAGAGGTGCGTGGAGGGGAGTTGGGCAAAGGGGACGTAGGTGGAAGGGGGAGAAGGGAGGTGGAGGGGGGGAAGAGGGACGGGGGAGGAGGGAGGAGTGGGAGGAGAACGGGATGAGCAAGAAGAAGAAGAAGAAGAAAATGAAGAAGAAGAAGAGGGGGAGGCGGACGGGTAAGTCTCCAATCCCACGACTGTGGAGGTGGGCGGAAGGGAGGCACGTGGAGGGGAGTTGGGCAAAGGGGACGTACGTGGAAGGCCGGGAAGGGGGAGAAGGGAGGTGGAGGGGGGGAAGAGGGAGGAGGGAGGAGTGGGAGGAGAACGGGATGAGCAACAAGAAGAAGAAGCAGAAGAAGAAGAAGCAGCAGCAGCAGCAGCAGCAGCAGCAGCAGAAGAAGAAGAAGAGGAAGAAGAAGAAGAAGAAGAAGAAGAAGAGGGGGAGGCAGACGAGAAAGCCGAAGAGGAGGGGGAGGAGGAGAAAGCAGTCGACGGGAAGGAGGAGAAGGATGAGGAGGAGGCGGACGAGAAAGCCGAAGAGGAGAGGAGGATAAAGGCGAGGAGGAGGAGGAGGGAAAAGGCAAGTGGAAGGGAGGGAGGTGGAGGGAGAAGGTGGCTAAAAAACTCTTCTTTTTTTTTTTGCATTCCTGTCCCGTTTTCTTCTTCGTTTTGCGTCTCACTTTTTTTTTTAAATTCTTGCGTCATTTCCTTCTTCGTTGTCTTTGGTCCTCCTATTCTTTTTGAGTCCCTTACAGTTAATCGATCAATCATCAATCAATCAATAAATCAACTTGACCAAGGTCGATCTTTATTGATCGATCGATTGATTGATGGATGGATGGATGGATGGATGGATGGATGGATGGAGGAGACTAGACCCAGAGGAGGAGGAGGAGGAGGAGGAGGAGAAGTATCGGGGACGGTCTGGCGTGGGTTGGGGAGGGTGGGGCGAGGGGAAAGGAGGTTCGGGATAGGGGACAAGAGTGGTCGGGGAAGACGCAGAGGGCAGTGGAGGCACGCTGAGGAGAGGCACGTGGTGAGAGGTAAGCGGACGGAGGAGGTGGGAGGAGGAAGGAGAGAGGGAGGGAGGAGTGGGAGGCGGGGATGAGGGGACATGCGAGTTGAAGGGAGGGAGGAAGAGGGAAAAGGTCGTTGGAGGAAGAGGAATGACTTGTTTTTCCTCTGTGTCTTTGTTTTTTTTTGCTTTCTATTTCGCTTTCCTTTTCTATTTTTCCATTGCCGTTATTCAATCAATCAACCAATCAATCAATCAATAAATTAATGAAGATTGACTTAGGTCGATCCAATTGCACCTACGACAAGTTGGCAACTGCTGGGCCATTTTGCAAAGTTGGGCAGCTTCCGGTAGGGGTACATTGCAAAGATGGTATCCAACTGTTGGCTTCGGTGTTTTTTTTTTTTGTCATCGTCTTTTGCTGGGGCGGGTCCACTTGTATTAATAATGATTGTAACGAACGCACCCAAGAGCCTAGTTCAGTGGGTACACCCATGACCTGTTGAAATACGGACCTGTGTTCGAATCCAGATGGTGGAACTTGACGAGTAAAACCAACTACTAATGAATTGCTTGGGGCCGGTCAGCTCAATGATAATATCTCAAGGCCGTCACCCTTTACAAGAAGAGAAAAAAAAAAAAAAAAAAAAAAAATTGTAACAGCTTTTATTGGGCATGTGTTGCCATGGGGCAAATGAGTTTTGGGGGAGCTACTGTAATTACAAGTTTAGCTAGTGCAATACCTGGGGCCTGGTCCCATTAGCAAAGAGGAATGGATTTAATTCCTGAATGTGGACATGTTTGTGGAAAGATGTGGAGATTTGAGATTGATCAGCTTTTCCGCATCTGTGCACTAAACACATCCAGATTCCCAAATTAAATCTAATCCTCTTTGCTAATGCGACCAGGCCCCTGTTGTAGGGGACACCGTAGTAACTTGGTTATGGGAAGGCTTCTCGGTGGATAACGCAACCTTAGTGTAAATCTATCATATTTTGTTGAAAAACATCTTGTCTTTTTACTTGAGTAGTCTTATGCACGGTAAGTACTAAGGGCCTCGTTAGACCCTCCTTGCAAATCCTCAGGAATGTCCAAAGTTATGCTTACACCGCGTCCTAAAAAACAAAAATCCTTGAAAAAATGTGAAAACGCTCCCAAGAGATTTCCTTGGGTCCCTCGGAATCCCCAGCCATTGCGTCCTTGGATTCAAGGGGTCCTCGAGAGGTCCCTTGGGCTCAAGGATCCGCGATAGACGGGCCGTCGTCGAGCGTGCGTCGTGACGGGAAGTTTCGATTTTTGCTGGTGCACATGACGTCCGTGGTCCATCGGGCAGACCATATCGGGTTGCTACCGGCGGGAGGKCACCAACGGCCTTCTGGTGTTACCGTTCGCGCGTACACGGCCGGGGGTCCTGCTTCGGGTCCAACAGACGTCGCGGCGGGGTTCTCCTTCTGCACTTCGTCGGGCATCGTGTCCAACGGTCGAATATTTCGAAATGTGTTTTATGTGCGGGGTGTGAAGTTGTCGCCGGCCGCCCCGTTTGTTGCCATTCGCGTGCGCGCGTGAGGGTTGTCCGTTCGGGTGGTCATCTACACGTGGTGCGTTTCATGGCAGACATCTTCCGGCGGCTACCGCTCCTGTTACTAGCATCTCTTCTGCTGCTTCTTCTCGTCTTTTTGCGCGYCTTCGTCGTGACGCGGCCTCCTGGGCGTAGACAGAGACGACAAGTGGATAGGAAGACGACGATGGACAGGCGGGACAGCTCCGTCGGACAGCAGAGACATGTGATGGATTTCTCCATTCCTGATCGGCCCCGGTCCGGCCATCGACCCGCCGCATACGACCCGTCCTTGTACAGTCATCTTCCACCGCACGAACAGCCGCTACCGCCGGATCCGGAGGACGTCTGGGTTGAGGATTTGTCGCACACACTTCCTCTGGGGAGTGGATCTACGCAGGAGTGGACGAGCAGGCAGTGCCAGCAGARGGAAGCAAGGACCACGCGCGAGTCGTTCACCGCATTGCTGGAGGAGGGTGTCGACAACGCCGCCACGGAGCTTGTGGACTTGGATTTCGGATTGTGCAGCGGGAGTGGTGCAAGTGGTCCGATCCACGGCGGAGGGGTGGTGGGATTGCCAACGTTGGGAGGAGGATCGTCCCGTGTCGGTGGGCCGATGAATAGGTGTCGTCCACCGGTCCCGAGTTCCATGGGCGCCGGGCCACTTGGCGAGTCGTCAAGGGCAGTGACACCCATCCGCCCGTCGGTGTCTTCGCCTACAATGCGGCAGAGGGCGACCGCAAGTGCTGCAATCAATGATGGGACTCCATCGAAAGACATCGGGAGGCAGGCGTGGGAGAACTGCCGCCTACAGATGCGGCGTGCTGCCACGGAGAACATAACCATCGGTGTGTCCAGGCTTCGTGTGGGGAGCGACGTGGATGCGGACGACAGTCGTCGAGCGAGTGGGGACGAGTCTCCGGATTCCCGTTACGAAGAGGACGCGGAAGGCGGTGAGGGGCTGGAGATCCGACCCGTGGCTGCGCGTGGTGGACGGAGGGGAGGACGCGGACGTCAGCAGAGGGGCGAGTCGCGTGGTGGCCGAGGATCGAGGGCTCCTGTGGGCGACAAGGGTGGCAAGCACCCAGCTTGGAGTGTGGAGGAGATGCTGAAGCTCGCTCGAGCGAAGCGGGATCAGCAAGCTCATTTCGAGGGAATGCCACAGCACTACGGCCGCATGCGCAACAGGGAGTGGAAGTTGTTGGACCTGCAGAAGCGGCTGGCGGAGGTCGGAGTGGACAGGACAACGGACGACGTAGGGAAGAAGTGGGACAACGTCTTCCAGCAGTACAAGAAGGTGCAGCGTTACCAGAACATGTCCGGCGGGAAGAACTTCTTCACATTAACTCCTGCAACGAGAGCGGATGAGGGTTTCAACTTCCGAATGGATGAGCGAGTCTTCAATGAGATCGACAACATATCGAAAAATAACAAAACCATCTACTTGGACAACGTGGCAGACACGAGCGCACGCGGAGGAGTGCCGCCAGCAATGGATGGTCACCGCCAGGCGGCCGTTGGTGGAGAGTCCTCTGTTGGTGGAGAGGGGGGTGATGGCGTTGATGAAGATGTGGGTTCAGCGCGGGAGACGAGGTTCAATGCAGGGAGCACGGGCACTCCAGCGAAGAGGAAGAACATGCGGCAGCAGACCTTCGACGCCATCGCCGAAGTCATGGACAAACACGGTTCATTGATGGCGGACACAGTAGAGGGTGCGAGCAAACGACAGTGTAGCATCCTGGAGCGGCAGTGTGACATCCTCGACCGGGAGGTTGAAGCCCAGAAGCGCCAGTGTTACATACTGGAGAGGCGTTACACGGCGTCCGATGAGGCGAACAAGATGATGTGCACGACGTTGATGGAGATTGCCAGAGCGATATGGGATAGATCTTGACGCCGGTGGCATGAGGCTTGTCAAGCCGTTGAAGTGGATTCGCCCGTGATCTGGCCCGTCGCGAAATGTGGTGCCGGTCCTCCGAACGACGACATAAATCTAGGAAACAAGGGAGGGGATGGTGTGCACGATGGCCGTGTACCCTCGCGCGCTTCGAAATGTTAAGTCGCTGGCTCTCCAGGGCAGGGTCGTCCATTCCCCGGACCGCATTGTCCCTGGGTATTTGGGGTGGTCTCCCCCCATGCGGAATGGGTGATCATCGTTGTCGTCGCGTGGAGGGGTGTGCTGGAGGCCGTCCGGGCGGGATCTGTGCGTCGAGGGAGGGGAAATGTGACCGCGAGAACTATAAAGGTCCGCGCGAGCGCTATCTTCTCGCAGTCTTTTGCTTGTCGACTGAGCGCAAGGCCACGCGTGGGGTTCCCGTTGTGCTGCGCAGGGAACTGAACATCGCCCGCGCAAAACGATCCATGGCGACTTCCTCTCGTGCGTTGCGGTAGTCCGTTTTCGTTCACTGGGCGTGCGCATCCGACCGTCAGCGAATGGCGCCACGTGGCCAGCAGAAGGCGAAACGTCCACACGGTGGTTCCGGCGAAGCGAGTGCAGGGCAAACAAGAAGGGGCCACATCCCAAAGTCGAAGAAGCTTCGCGCGGGAGACGGGTCGGAAGGAGAGATGGGGGGTGACGGGGGAGAGGAGGAGACGACTATGGACATCACTTCTAAAGGGACGCCTGTGCTCGGGTTCGGGCGTGACGGTATGAGCAGGCAGCGTATGCTTGCGCTCACCAACCTTAGCGTCCCGACGTCCACGCGCGACGGAGGTGGCGGGACGGCTCGTGCGCAAGGAGTTTCGTCCGGTGACATTCCGCCGCAGAGGGCCGTGGGTTCTGCATCCACCATCGCATCCGTGTCCGAGCGCGGCGAAAAAGCTCCGGTAGGTGAGTCTCCATCGCGCCACGTGGAGGCGTCGAACCCGACGATCGTTGCCACTTCGCCGAAGGATGTGCTTCAATCCGCGAATGCAGCGAGCGCTGCTGGTCATGCTGCGGTCGTCGGTGTTGGAGAAAGGCGAGAAGATAGGAGGGTGGAAGAGGCGGGGAGAAAACAGGAGAGGAGGGAGGAGACTCCGCGGGAGGAAGAAGAGGACGACCAGCCTCTGAGCGCGAGGAAGAAGAGGACGACCAGCCTCTGAGCGCGAGGAAGAAAAGGTCCCGCCAAGAGGAGGAGTTGGAGGCGAAATCGAAGCTGTGGGTAAACGACAAAGCATTCTGGGCAACCGGCCCCGAACGGATGATCGCGGACGCGGTGCATTCCTGCGCGAACTGCTTCTGCGCGATCGTCAATGGAGATACAGGCGCCAGCGCTCCGCAAAGCCTCATGATGCCGCCCCCCGAAGTCCGGCGCGTGCGGATCGAAGATGGCGCGCAACGAGAGCCAGCTCTCAGACGGGCGAGACGAACGGAGAACGTGGCAATGCGCGTCATCCACGGGTGGATATTCAGGTCGTCTTCAAGGTTCGATGGTTTCGCCCGCGCGGAGTCCTACGTCGCCACAGATTACCCCACCGACCTGGCGAGAGCAGTTTGGCAGAGCTTCGAGTGGTCGAGGATAGTGCCTCCCGCCGTAGTTTACCACACAATAGCTTTGAAGATTGACATCCCAATGTGGTTCGCCGGGGCATATATCGAGAATAGGCCGGAGGACGATGACATGGCCGCGCACCAGGAGGCGACTGTGATGCATATTGCGTCATGCTTCCACGAAGCAGGGTCGGGCAGTGGTGGGACGACGGTAGATTGTCACACCAGAGACTGAGCAGAATCGGGGATGCTTTCCGCCTGCTTCTCGCCGCGTGCATGTGGATCATGCGCATGGGAGGCGACGATGCGCGCTCCTACAACGAGGCGTCTTACTACGCGCAACTGGTGGCGAAGCCGACTCTCGTGGCGCCATGTTCATCGTCCTTCAACTGGCGCCGCCATGTGATGCACTCGGCGAACGTGGTCTTGACTCGCCTGCGGAAGCCACCCTTGATGCTGGGCGCTTTCCCTGACTACATCCCGGAGTGGGCTTCGTGCGGAGTGCGGTACAACTGCAACGCTGGTCTGGCGGACCTCGACGTCGCGGCGGGCAAGCCGATGAACTGATCCAATGATCAAAAGATCGGTTGCCCATCAGACTCGTCCAAGCTAGGGTGTGATGCTCCGCGAGGTCGGGCATTCCTGGTGGACTGGGTTTCAGATTGTTGATGAAAGCGCACTGTGAACTGCGGAAAAAAAAAAAAACGCATTCACGCTCCAGTCGTCCTGAGGAGACAACAGATCAATGGAAGGCGCACACATCGCCCCTAACATACAAACCGCAACACGGAGACTTAAAAAAAAAAAAACGACAAAGACAATGAAACGAATAAAAATGAAATAGGAAAAAAAGATATTTCGATTGCAATCACATACACGAAATCACAGCATCTTCACACAGCACAGATAGACGCACACACGCAGCCGGAACTCCACTCCAAAGTATACATTTGAAAAAAGGAGAACAAAAACGAGTCACCTCCGGACTGATTACCCCGCCGACAGACACCGTCTTCTTCGAAAACGAAATCGCGCAGCTGCGCGCACTCACTCACAACAAACCGCATCACCCGTCGCCAAAAACCTACTACAAAATGTTTAACAAAAAAGAAAGAAAGGAAAAGAGTTGCGGATGAACAGTGTCTCCGACGACAGCTCCGCGACACTAGCGATCAATGACAACCCGCACAGAACGTACACAACACCCCAGGGCACAGTACACGCCTGCAACAACTAAATAACACAGAATGCCTCCGTTTGACACAACACAGAACGACCTCCACAAGGACGGCAGAGCCACGTGCCGTCGACGCGGTGTGTGCCTTCACGCGTGTTTCATCCTCTCCGCCAACGCCTCGCGTAGCGCCAACGCATGGGGCCGATTGAAGTTCTCAGCAATGGGGTGGGGTGGATGATCCAACCCCAAGTCCACTCGCCGCCGCATGCCATTAGCATCGACCTCCCACAGCAAGTTGTCGTCGAACTCCATGCCAGCGTCAAGGAGGATGTTGTGCAGAATGCAGACGGCCTGGAACTGTTGTGGGAGAGTGTCCATATTCGTCTTCTGTGTGCGGAGGAACAGCCTCCACATCCCTTTCAATCTCCCGAAAGCTCTCTCCACTGCTCCCCTGGTGACCTTTTGCTTGATGTCGAACCTCTCCTCGTTGGGGATTTGATCGGTCCCCCCGTACGGCACGTTAATCCACTCCAGCGGCGGATACCCGTTGTCGCCCAGAATGTAACCGTGTGTCGTCACTCCGAACGGCAGCACAACAGGAGCTCCACGGAAAAGATCCCCCTCCTCCGCACACGCCCACAGACTGGAGAGCTGAAGCACCCGAATGTCATGGCAGCTCCCTGGGTAACCGACGAAAACGTCCGTGATGCGCAAATCGAGGTCCACCACCACCTGCGCTACAACGGAGAAACGATGCTTCCGGTCGAAGTAGTTCTCCGAAGAAGCGTTCGTCGGTTTGTCGACGTAAACGTGCGTGCAATCTATGCAGCCATAGCAGTTGGGAAAGCCCTTCACCTCGAAGGCACGCAGAACGAGCGTACGACGCATCCCAGTAGGCCATACGATCTTGTCACTGTACACCCTCAGGAGCGCCCTCGTAACGTCCTCCACTGCGATCAACCCGGATGCGCGCCCTATTCCGAATGACGACGTGCTGCTCTCGTATGTCTCACCGCTCGCCCATCAGTACAACGCATATGCGATGATGTGATCCGGTTGCAAAGGAACCCTGTAGAATGTCMCCCGCCGCTGCAGAAGAGGAGACAACGCCTCCACAATCTCCATGAACACCCTGGGGGTCATCCTCAACTTTTCCTTGTAGTACTCGTCCGAGGCATCGTCCATCTTCCGCAGATCCTCCCACATGCCACCCGTCCTTCTCCGCATCCACCACCTTGGAGTCGCCCGCGGTATCGCCCAGGATGACATGGCGGCGCAGAACTGGGTAATGGATTCGGACATGGACACGCAGTCTGGCGCCGCCATCACGTGGTGGAGGAGCTCACACTGCCTGCGGATAGACACTCTCGTCCTCAACCGAGTCGTCGTTCTCTCGATACGACATCGCATGGCCACCGCCGACACCGCTGCAACCACCGCATTTCTCTCCACCCTGCTCAAGGTCTTGCCACGAACCTCCTGCGACACATGTTCCATCACGATGCCCCGACGGCGCCTTGTTCAACAACCACAACAGACGAAGGACTGGACCCTCGTCACACACTGTCCCAGCGGACGTTGGAGTGGACCCTCGTACACGAACGACGGGCGCGTGAAGCTATGGCGAGCCACCGGATCGTCGTCATCTGTAGGAAGACGAAGGCGGGACACACACCACTTCACGCGCTCCAACGTCGTCACCTTTCGCGCCGCGCCGGCTGACGATCGGATGAACGAGTCGCCAACAGCGATGGGCGCCACAAATCGTCTGCCCACACGTTTCGCACACTGGTAGCTCCAGGGGTGGTGACGCCACCGCGCACCTTTACCTCGACCGACGGTTTGAAATTCGAATTTCGAAAAGGAACCTTCGCGCCTCTTTTCGCAGCGCAGCATCGCGGGCCTCCTTGCGCCGCCAGTGGACCACGCCCGACAACGAACGGACATCCCTCGGCGACGACGGACATCCTCTCCCACGGCCTCGCATTTGCGTATGAAATTGGCCGCGGGATACCTCCAAGGTTTTTCCTTGGGACCCTTTTGTTTAGGACGCGGTGTAACGCCGCCGCCGAATTCCTTGAAATTTTCCAAGGACTTCGTCCTAATTTCTGAGGATTTTTCAAGGAGGGTCTAACGAGGCCCTAAGTACTATAGCTCCAATCATGGCCACTAATAAAATAAGACTTGAGACCAGAAACAAATAAAACTAAGTGGTATACTCCCATATTCATTCCCTCTATAATCGGTCTCTAAGTCCTGTCATAGCAGCACCTATTGCTATTCCTTTTTTTTTTTTTTCTTTTTTTTTTTTTTTTAATAAAACAGGTCCTTATGGTTCCTTTGCTATTCCTGTAAAACTGTTTTCTGCGATTGGTGTATCAAGTATTCTCAAATTACGTTATTTTTTCAAAAAGACCATTTGTTACTTCCTTTAAAGTTTAAACCACCCCAGTACTTCCTAGAGTCGTGCCCGTTAACGCTCCACAATTTTAGGAAATGTACGGGCTATTACAGGAGCGCCCAAATTCATCCCACTAGAAACGTTTCTACTCGGTTTTTTTCCCGCGGCCGATAGCTGGGCCGAGCACTGGTGGTTTAAGTTTCAGCCGTGCGACCATACTCCCTCCCCCTGGGCCGAGGTCCCACTAGCAAAAAGGATAGGATCGAGCTCCTGAATCTGGATGTGTTTTAAGCAGAGATGCAGAAAAGCAGTTCAATCTCGATTTCATGCACATCTCCATAAACTCGTCCAGATTCAGGCATTCGATCCGATCCTTTTGGCTAGTGGGACCACGCCCCTGGAACCCGTAAACTTTGATTTCTCACTGAAAAACGAGCTCCGTGAAAATACATTCCACTAATCCAAATAAATATAACTGTTAATTGGCCAAAGTGAGCGCTGAAAACCTTGCGAGAAATATCTTCCAAGTCGCTACCGTCTTCCCCCGAACATAACGCACCCTGAAAACGAACGTATACAAAGATATGTTTCCGGCCCGATACAGAAAAAAATGTCGGTTCCGTTGTGTTCGGGGGAAGACGGTAGTATGGCTGTCAAAATCGTGCGCATCAGCATGAAGGTTACAAATCCAAGTAGTCGATGGCTTCAGTTTCGGTCAATCCCCCCAGCCCTCCCCCCCTGCGTCTTGCCCAGGGTAATCACAGGGCATACTCACACTAGGGACTTTTTCTGCTTAGCTCTGGCCGCAATTGTAGCCAGGTTCATCCAGCTCCGCCCGTAATTCCATTCAGAATGATTCCAGATAAATTTAGGGAACTGCTACCATCTTCGCCCGAAGAGAACGCCCGGTCATTATAGCTGCATTCGTGCCAAGTTGCAGTCCAGATACAGTGCTAATGCCCCGGCGTTCTATTCGGGTGACGACCGTAGTGTGTGTGTGAGTATGCTCTCAATCAATCAATGCTGATATTTTGTCATCACTTTCTCCTGACAATGTGGAATTTCTGCAAGAGGGATGCTGGGCTGTTTGAGCCTTTTTCCTTTTCCCAGCACATGAAACATGTTGCTCCCCGAGTCCCCGTGAGTAGGTCAGAGCTTAGGTTTATTGGGGGAGAACAAAAAAAAAAAAAAAAAAAAAAAAAAAAAAAAACAAATTCTTTGGCCTTACATTCACACTAGATCAGAGCTTAGCTTTGTTGGGGGAGGAAGGGGGGGAAAAAAAAACTCTTTGGGGAGAAAGAAAAAAAAAAAAGAAACTCTTTGGTGAGAAAGAAAAAAAAAAAGCTCTTCGGCATGACATTCACACTAGATCAGAGCTTAGCTTTGTTGGGGGAGACAGAAGGAAAAAAACTCAAGAAAAAAAAAAACAAACTCTTTGGCCTGACATTCAGTGACACACACATTGCTGACATTCAGACATTGCCAATTATCATGCAGCACTAACACTGGCGAGGGGGGTTTGTTTGGAAAAAAAAAAATCAAAAAAAAAATCATATGTATGCCTATGGGACGGTGGACGCGGTTTCCAGAAGGTGTCGCTCCCCACCAATAGAATGGAGCATCCGGCGGTGGGCTACCAGGGAAGGTGCTCTTATAACCCCACCTGGTACCCCGAGGCCCCTTTTTTTTTTTTTTCAACAAAGAAAAAAAAGGGATAATTTGCGAAATACCGTCAAATACCCCTATAAGTTGAGATTTATCCCAAAATGCCCCTACAAGATGTGGGTAGAGTGGAATACCCCTCTGACACGAAAAATGTTTCGCAAAATGCCCCTGACGTCGGTTTGACCTGCCATATTTGCAAAATACCCCTACCAGGTACTGTCCATCTTTGCAAAATGTCCCGGTACTTACCAACTTTTCCCAGGCCCTATTTATTTTTGTTTTACCCCTAGTGGCCCAGGTCATCTTTGCGTTTTGCCCCCTCGCCGAGAGAGAGACAAACACACAGAGACACACACACACACACACAGATAGACACAGAGAGAGAGAGAGAGAGAGAGAGAGAGAGAGAGAGAGAGAGAGAGAGAGAGAGAGAGAGAGTGATGCGGCATAGGGGGGGGGGGGGATGGGGAACTTCACCAGGGAGGACAATGAATGAAGCTGCCGAACACAGCATGAGACAGCGTCAAATGATCTCAAATGTTCTCAATGAGCTGTACATTTCGATATGGGATGCTGGGCCCGGTTCCCACCACGTGCTGCTCCCCACGAATAGACTGGAGCATTTGTTTTCAAAAAAAA